GCAGCAGGGACGTCCGTCCCCGGTGCTGTCCCTTGCTAAGCGTTTCGGGCGCCGGTGCAGGTGCTCGGCAGCTTTTTTGGCCTCCATGTTCCAGCGGTGACGGCAGTTTTGGTGGGTTTTATCCTGTCTCTTGCAGGATGGAGCCTTTTCTTTCCCTTCCCCTGCGGCCAGAGGGCTGCTGCTGATGGAAGGGGGAAAGAGATTAATGCACGGGGTGCATCCTCCCTCCTGACGTGGGAGGATGAGGAGCTCGGGTCCCATCGGGCTGTCCCCATTCTGGTCACGTTTCTGGAGCAGACATGTCGTGGGGCTGGATGAGGGAAGCCACGCTCATTTATTTGTTTTTTTTTTTTTCCCTTCCCAAGAACCACTCGGCCACAGAGCTGCCTCCGTACGGGAGGCGTTTAATTCCTTTTCTCTCATTCGGAGCTCGCGTACGCAAAGATTAACTCCCTTTAGCGAAGGAGAAATTGGATCTGAGGCCTGTGGCGCCTCATAAAGCTCACAGCCTTAAGCAGCTGGTTCTTCTACCGAGCCTTGCTTTTAAGGAAAAATGAGGTTTTGACTCAAATTTGACTGTCTGCCTCTCCCGCGGTGAGCATCCGAGCTGGGGACCAGCCACGAGCCGAGCTTCCAGCCAGCTCTGCTACCCCAAAGATTAAACTAAAAGACTAAATATGATTGAAATCATCGCAGATCCAGCATTCCTCTTTGTTTTGATGAGCTCCGAGCGCTTTACAGGCAGCGCCGTGCCCAGCGCGGAGGACAGGGAGAGCCCTGGTCCCTGTATGGTTGTTCCCTTTGCAGCTCGAGGTTTGCTTGAACGTGACAATGCTTTAATGGCTCGGGAGGGGGAAGGAGGCCCCAGCCAGGAATCATCTCTCTGGAAGGACGTAAGGAGCCAAATAATAATCTCATATGCCTGATGCCCCCCCAAAAGCTTCACCTCCTTCAAACAACAGCGTCTGTTGGAGCAAACACAGCGAGTGTGAGCGTGCGTGGTGGGGATAATGGAGACGAACGCTCTCCGAGATGGTCTGGTGTAACCGGTGTTGCTCGTGCAGGGCAGAGACGGGGAGCGCGGTGCTGGTCCCGCGGGGACCCGCCTGCCGTGCCGCCCGCTCCGGCCACACTTCGCTCCTTTCGTAGAATCATGGAATGGTTTGGGTTGGAAGGGACCTCAAAGATCATCCAGTTCCAACCCACC